AGTTATCACCAGGAAGGCTGTACATGTGTGTGAAAGAAATATTGACCGTATCCCCGGGAAGACTGTGTGAGAAAGAAAGATTGACCTTATCACCAGGAAGGCTCTGTGAGAAAGAAAGATTGATCTTATCACTAGGAAGTCTGTGTGAGAAGGAAAGATTGATCTTATCACCAAGAAGGCTGTGTGAGAAAGAAATGATGACCTTATCACCAAAAAGACTGTGTGAGAAAGAAATATTGACCTTATCATCAGGAAGCCTGTTTGAGAAAGAAAGATTAATCTTATCACTAGGAAGGCTGTGTGAGAAAGAAAGATTGATCTTATACCCAAGAAGGCTGTGTGAGAAAGAAAGATTGACTTTATCACCAGGACGACTGTTTGAGAAAAAGAATAGTTGGTCTTATTACCAGGAAGTTTATGTGAGAAAGAAAGATTGACCTTATCACCAGGAAGACTGTGTGAGAAAGAAAGATTGACCTCATCACCATGAAAGCTGCGTAAGAAAGAATAATTGGTCTTATTACCTGGAAGGCTGTTTGAGAAAGAGGGATAAATTGTACCACCAGGAAGGCTGTGTGAAAAAGAAAGATTAACCTTATCACCAGGAAGACTGTGTGAGAAAGAAAGATTGACCTTATCACCAGGAAGCCTGTGTGAGAAAGATAGATTGACCTTAACACCAGGAAGGCTGTGTGAGAAAGAAAGATTGATCTTATCACCAGGAAGGCTATGTGAGAAAGAAAGATTGACCTTATCACTAGGAAGGCTGTGTTAGAAAGAAAGATTGATCTTATACCCAAGAAGGCTGTGTGAGAAAGAAAGATTGACCTTATCACCAGGACGACTGTGTGAGAAAGAAAGATTGACCTCATCACCATGTAAGCTGTGTTAGAAAGAATAATTGGTCTTATTAACAGGAAGGCTGTGTGACAAAGAAGGATTAACTGTACCACCAGGAAGGCTGTGCGTGAAAAAATGATTGGTCTTATTACCAGACAGGCTGTGTGAGATAGAAAGATTGACCTTATCACCAGGAAGGCTGTGTGAGAAGGAAAGATCTTATCTCCAGGAAACCTATGTGAGAAAAAAAGATTGGCTATATCACCAGGAAGGCTGTGTGTGAAAACAAGATTGACTATTTGACTAGAAAGGCTGTGTGAGAAAGAAAGATTGGCCTTATCACCAGGAAGGCTGCGAAGAAAGAAAGAATGACCTTATCACCAGGACGGCTGTGTAAGAAAGAAATATTGACCTCATCACCAGGAAGGCTGTGAAAGAAACAAAGATTCACCATATCACCAGGAATGCTGTGTGAGAAAAGTAGATTGATTTTTTCACCAGGAAGGCTGTGTGGGAAAGAAAGGTTGATCTTACCACCAGGAAGGCTGTTTGAGAATCATAGATTGGAGTTATCACCAGGAAGGCTGTACATGTGTGAGAAAGAAATATTAACCTTATCACCAGGAAACCTATGTGAGAAAGAAAGATTGACATTGCCACACGATAAGTACTACGGTCAGTATAAATAATTGATCCTTTAAATCATATTGTTTCAATTTGTCATCTCTTAACTGACACTTTTGATACCGGCACAGACTCCAGTGGCGGATCCAGAGGGGGGCGTAGAGGGCGTACGCCCCCCCCCCTTTGCTTGCACTTTTTTTTTTTTTTTTTTTTTTCTAAAATGATTAATCAGACTAAACTTTGTGAACTTTGCCATTTCCCGTGTATTTAATTTTTATGCAACAATTCTTTACTTATAAAGATATTTTTCGCTCGTATTTTACTGTAATATATTATTGATTATGTCAAAGTCATGTGATTCTCTACAGTGGAGTTGACCAGTTCGTCGAAAAAAACGTCACTCAGTCATTTTGAAATTCAAATTACAGTAACACATTGCTTAGGCTGAGGATGACAAGCATGACGCCTTCAAAGCGACAAAGTATTGAGCAAGAACGTATTGACTTCTATTTCACAATTCCACCCAACAGAAAGTTATACTCTATTACACTCTCATGTAAAAAAAAGTTCCACAGCAATATTATTTACCTACGAAAACATGTTTAACCCCACACGCCCCAGCCCATTAATAATATTGATGAATAGTGATCCGCAGTCAGTAAGCTCTAGATATACATTTAAAGTCTAAGGTACGGACCATTTGATCTGAAGGGGCAGTCTGAGATATTTTAGAGAAAAAATTATGACCCTGATTTTTGCCTTAAACAAAAATTCTGGCCTTATCTGGATTGAAAACAATAATCTTGTCCACTTCTTTGCTATTAGAAAAAAATATTTTCAACAGAATTATTTAGCATTAAATGAACATGATGAATAAAAAACGGGCGTAATTTTTTTTTTTGGGGGGGGGGTTGCATGTGAATCCCATATCTGACCGGAATGTCTGTTTCGCCGAACTTATATACTGAATACTTTTTCTGGTCCGACTGCAACCTGCCTGCTGGGTGTGGCCTATATGTCTCCATGTGTCGACCGTCATTCACAACTTCATTGTCATTTCCGACTCATTCGTAGCCTCTGGTTGATTTGGAACCCCTCACTTCCCTTGTTGGGTGAAACATTTCAACCAAACATTTGGATGAAAATTGCTTGTTTGTCTTTCTTCGTGTCGGTCGTATTGTTAATTTCATTGTTTACAACAAGAAATCTGTGAGGTTATGCTAACTAACCATACAACAAACGAGAATTTTCCATGTCCATTTTTTTCTGACAAATCCCACATCAAATATATTAATTAGTACATAGCTTTGGATCCATCCAATCATTTGAGAGAATACGGCACCAGAAATGTCCAACCCCTACACTTTCAGTTAAAATGCATTTTACACTTATTTTATGTTTTTTAGTGAAAAAAAGGTCCAAAATATTTTCGCCTCGCTCCGCTCGGCAAACTTTAATACTTCGCCCCCCCCCCCCTTTCCAAAATCCTGGATACGCCCCTGGACTCCATATGTCCACGAGCATTTGGGCATGACTACAAGTTTTGACTCGTTTTAGGATGGCTTATTTCTGATAAAGGTAAATCCAGAAAGGCGCTAGGGACGCACTAAATTTAGAAAACAAACGTCTTATTTTCTTAATCTTGACTTGTCATTCGGTGTATTTTCTCTCCTTTGCTTGTATATTATATACCTGACGTATGAATAATAATTAAGGCTTGTGAATATCACCTTATACCTCATTTAAGTTTTCGGGTTGTTTTTTTATTTATTGTATTCATATATGGCTTTGTATTTTATAAATATAAGAAATATAATCTTATTTAATGTCAATCTGTTTTTCTTGGCAAGAAATTGGAGGTCGGAATATTCCTCATATTTAATAAATAAATTATGACTGACAACAAACAAAAAGTCTGAACATTTTTACGGATATGAATAAATTAAGATGTGAGGTATTCGTCATTGATACAACAACCCAACGACAAAGCTATCAAAACACATAGAGTGCTACAAATTCTTCTATAATAGACAGACAAATATTTGAAAAACTGACTTTTTAAAAAAATGTTGTAGACAAAGGGAGAAGTCCATAAAAACTGACAAAATCAATCGTTAAACTTTATTAATCAATGTAACTTGTCGACAACAACTGTCATATTCCTGACTTGAGACAGGCATTTTCTGAAGAAAATGGTGGTTTACACCTTGTTTTTATAGCTAGCCTAACCTCCCACTTGTACGACAGTTATTTAAAGTTCCGTTAAATTGACAAAATTTGTTGAGCAACCTAAACAGACATAAAAAGTTAAATTGACAAATTGGGATCCAGAAGCTGTGTAAATATACACCATAGACATATAACAGTTGACGATAAAAATCAGAAATGGGCATTCTTTATCGTTAGTACGTATCCAATGCAGCACACAAAATAGTAACATTGTTCAGGTCAAAGTTAGTTTAAGGTATGAATCAATTTAGTGGACATGTTACTAAGTAAAAGTTAAATATCGCGTTCATTATTTCAAAAAAACAACTAATACCTTTTTTGTTTTAAACATGTAGAAATAAAGTCCGAATATACCGATTTTCAGTTTATGTATCTTTTACCATCTGGAACCTCCCCCCCCCCCCCTCCCCACCCCCAGTGTAAACAGTATTCCGACCAACTTTAGATAAGTCATATGACAATTTATTACAAGTAATATGTTTCTTGATAAAGATATAATAATCTTTATAAATAGGAAATAGTCCTTTCCTTCCGTAGTAAATATACATTGATAATTACAAAAATACAGATGAATCAGATTGGCGTCAGATATTTTTACATACTAACCATGAATCCCGAAACGGGGGAACCCAGATGAAATAAAGCTACATATAAAAACGAAGATGTGGTATGATAGCCAATGAGACAACTCTCCACTAGAGACCAAATGACATTGAAATTAACAACTATAGGTCATATCCCTCGAGCATAGCTCAGATTTCTTGTCCGGGTTTGACTATACTTTCGGTTCTTCTTGGTTACATCAGCTCATAATAAAACGTTCGAATTAGATTTTTGATTTCCAAATATTTTGTCAAATATCTTTACCTAAAAGTATTTTTATTAATATATTCAGCAGATAAAAATATTTCATTGAAATAATTTAAGCGATGTGGTTTGAATAATAATTGTCATTCTAGCTATACCGACTCTCAAAATGCTTTTCCGTTATTGTCTCATTCAGTAAAAGGAAATAATTGTGGCTTATGATATTCTTTTAAAATATAATGTCTTTTCAAATGAAAACAACAACGACAAGGTTTAAGACACGATGTTAATTGGAGTTAATTTATTAGGACATTTTATAATTCATTCCCAATCGTCTACTTTTAAAAGTAGAATAGAGTGTGGTAAACAAAGAAGATTCCCCTTAATTGTATTTTCAAATATTTTGATTTGAAAAAACCCAGATCAATTTTAAATGAATGAGGACACGACTAACAACGTATCCAGACTTTTAGAAAACCTTTTCAATGAAAATAAATATCGCAAGTGCTCAAAGGTTTCCGGCAAGGAAAGAGCATCTTCAAAATGAAGATTTCTTTTGGTGTAAAATCCCCCATGGTCGTTCACCTGATTTAATTTTACGTAAATTGTCGATCGGAAAACAAGGTAACTTATTTTTTACATAATATTTCCTTAAAAAAGATAGCTTTAGATAATTTTAAATGATAATAAAAAAAATGATAATAATAATAATGTTGCTATTTTAACTTACGAAATAAATGAACATACAGAAAAAATAACGAAAAAATAGATAGATATGTATTTTCAAACGGTTTGATATCATTGCCACTTCATCAGAAAACTCATATACGCATGATGCTTTTGTTGTTTATCCAGACTTAAGTTATCATCATCTAAGAATCTAATGTTGTTAATGATAATTTATACTACAAAAAATACAGAATATTGGAAACAGATTTCATAAAAATTAGATTAGACCATTTCCAACCGATATTTACAGTGTGTTTGTCTGCTGTGCTGTAACGCTATTGTTGCATGTTAGGGGAGGGTTAGGCGCTCACAGAAATGTTTCATCCCGATACACTCACAACCCAATGGTTGGTGTTAGTAACAGTCTGTCATATATTGTTTTTCGTTTTAATTTTTATTAAAAATTATCATATCTTTTTTTTTTTTTTTTATTTTAAATCGTTTTACATTTTGTGTTCCTGTGGCCGTGTCAACAAAGCTATCTTAGGACTATGACATATCTTAGGACGGTCTAATGACACGTCTTAGTCCTAAGGCAGGTTAACGAAGATATTCGAAGAATGTTTTTTTTCAAAATATTCAATTGTGTTACATTGTTTTAAATTTGTAGACAATTGTTCTATGAAATAGTTCCAGATATCAACAAGTCGTTAAACTTTATATTTTTCAGTTTTAGATTTTGGAACAAAAAGTACCTTGTGTGGTTGTTCTAAAACTACATGTAACCTGATGTACATATCACTGAGAACTAAAACTGCTTTTCTGTATACAAAATAATTTGAAATGACATCCATCGCAGCTATCAAAAAATTATCTTTGACGATGTCATATTATTATACTCCTTTAAAATAATTCGTGCTGCCTTTTTTGAAGCTTAAAAATTCTATCAATACTAGCAACATTTTTTGCATCTCTACATATTTTTATAAAATTAAATAAATGTGTTAGGATGGTGCTAGGACAATTATGGTTATGACTGTCATAAGATAGTTGGTTTTACATCATAAGACATGTCTTAGACACGTCCTAAGACCATTCTAAATAATGTCCTAAGGATACTGTCATTGACATAGTCCCTGGGTACAAGTATATTCATGGATATATGAAAATAAACTAACAATCACATAAGAACATTTATACAAAAATGTATGGTGTGAATTGTCAATATCAATTACTTTTCTGCTTTTCAATCGGTACATACGTATTGTAAAGGAGATACGGATATAGCTCGACGAGCAAGAAACCCCAAAATTCAAAATGCAAAACGACAGCTAGATGTTAAAATACAGTTTACACAAAATGTCAAGTTCTAAATCATCACCGAGTCTTAAGAAATTTGTATCAAATGAAACAAAAACTAATACTGTAAGAGATCTAAAATTAATTATCGCAATAACATTAAGTTATTTAATAAGATACCGACTAAAGTGGGTTCTAACATGAGACTAATAACATTTAGTTATGGAACAATACACCGACTGAATTTATTTCTAGCATGAGACATATAACATTTTGTTATGGCATAAAACACCGATTAAAGTGGTTTCGCACATGAAACAAATAGCATTTTGTTATGATATAAGACACCGACTAAAGTAGTTTATAACATGAAACCAATAACATTTAGTTATGACATAAGACACCGATAACATTTAAATATGACATAAGACACCGACTAATATGTTTCTAACATGAGACTAATAACATTTAGTTATGACAAATGACACCGACTAAAGTCGTTTTTAACATGAGATCAATAACATTTAGTTATGACATAAGACACAGACTAAAGTGGTTTCTGACATGAGACCAACATCATTTAGTTATGACATAACACACCGACTAAAGTTGTTTCTAACCTGAGACCAATCACATTTAGTTATGACATAAAACACCGACTAAAGTAGTTTCAGACATGAGCATGACATAAGACACCGACTTAAGTGGTTTTTTGTCATGATAATGGAACATGAATATGTTAAAGACTGTCTGCATTACACATGGCCACTGTGGTCCATCTGATATACGAAACACAATATTTTAATATATAAGAGGTCAATATTTTACAATCCAATGTACCATATGTTTGTTTCATTAAAATATATAGTATTCTGATACTTTTTATTCAACTCATCACATGTTGTACTGGAGTATTTGAATTATATTTTGTAGATTTAAATAATGTTTTTCTTGATCAATCTGATGTTTGTATACCTAACTGTCAGCCATGTCAATACAGATGCTGCAAGAGGCAGGAAATGTTACTTTTCATCAAAATGTCTTTGTTTCTCATTATTACCAACACCATACTACAACGCAGTATGTTCCCATTCACTGTTACATGCCATTCCAGTCTTCAAAGATAACATACATAGCATCGATTTAAGCTACAATCTTATACAAAGAATACAAAACAGACATTTTAGTTACAATGGCAATCTAAAGGAATTAAATCTGTCACACAACAAGATTAAAACATTGTCAAAGTTCTCTTTTCATGGACTGCGTAAATTGTCAAAGCTGATCGTAAGCCAAAATGAAATAGACAGTGTAGAAACTTACACATTTTTCTATTTACAGTCTTTGACATATTTAGACGCGAAACAAACTAATATCAATGTTTCAACTCTGCAATCTCTTCATTTTCTCAAAACATTAAGAATGGACTTTATACTAAATGGGAGTGACAGTTTTTCATTTCGACTTTTGCATTTAACACATCTTGACTTGTCAGGAACGTCGGGTAGATGTGAAGCTAGAACATTGACCGAGGATGTGTTTAAATTTATTCCTATCATAGAGGATCTCAATCTTTCCGCGTGTAAAATCAATCGGATCTATAAGGGAACTTTTCGATTCATGAAGCATCTTTCAATATTGGACTTGTCCTATAATCCTTGCCTTAAATTTTCAGCGGCTGAAAATGTAACCAAAGATTTGCCATACACCTCTATCAAGATTTTAAAGTTGAATAAAATTCATAAAACATTTGAGATGAATACGATGATCAAACGTTCACATGTTAGACACCTGAGGAAAACAAATCTTACAGAAATACACATTGATAGTAATAGGATACAAAAAGTGCAGAAAGGGGTATTACTTTTTCTACCGAGTTCAATTCGAACTATATCCATGTCTGATAATGAATTTTCATTCGGCGATTACCTTTCGGAAATCATGGTTGTACCAGTTGAACATGTAAACATTTCCGAATTGTTCAAATCTCACCTTCCTATAAGCCAAGAGGAACGATGCTACCTCCGAAATGAAAGTAATTTTCCGGAAGAGGAAGTCGAAAAACACATTTCGTCATTACAACCAAATTTTGTTCCTTTTCCACACATGCTTAAATCATTTGTCTACAGAAAATGTTTGATTCGATACCAAATACCACCAATGAATTTGTCGGCAAACACGATCGAGTATCTGGATGGTCATCAAAATATGTTCTACTCTTTGATAGGTCCATTGTGTCCCCTAGATCATGTGACATATGTGGATCTGTCTGATAATATGAGTTCTAATGTATCAAAAGTGTTCTTTCAGTGTATTTCTAATTTACAGATACTGCGATTACAAAATAATCTTTTAGGATTTGTTCTGCCTGATGATGTTAACGGTGAAATATTACAACATGTTCCACAACTTAGAGAAATTAACCTATCAGAAAATAGAATACCGACATTACCATATCACTTTTTTAAGTCACAAGTTTTAGTTCGACGTTTATACTTAGATGGTAATTTGTTGGATTATCTTATATTCAAGATTGACCACATGAAGGACCTATATTTTCTAGGTCTATCTAACAACCGATTTTCGTATTTGGATGAAACAGCAAGGGCTCAGTTAGAAACTGTATATAAGAATAACAAAAATGTAAGCATTGATATTAGTGGGAATCCGCTAAAGTGTACGTGTGATACCAAAGATTTTATACAATGGATGGGAAACACGAAGATTCTTTTTAACAACCTGCATTTCTACACGTGCAGATTATCAACCGATAAAAAGCAAAACTTAAATAATCCAAAGCGTTTATATGAAGTTTTGCAAAAAGAATGTGCCTCTTACACGTCCTTAGTTATAGGATTAATATCATTGGTTTTTTTGTTTGTTTCCATACTGACTTTTGGGTTAGTGTACAGACACAGATGGAAAATTCGATATATGTACTACATGGTTAAAATAAGATATTTTGAAACTAAGCGAAAGACTAACGAGAAGAAGATATACACATATGATGCTTTTGTTTCATACGAAAATAATGATCGATCATTTGTCCATGGACAACTTCTTCGAAAACTGGAGAACGATGCAGGATTAAAATTATGCATTCATCAAAGAGATTTTCTCCCTGGACATGACATTGCAGAAAATATAACTTCTGCTATTCACGACAGTCGTAAAATTGTCGTCCTAATGTCACAAAACTATTTAGATTCATATTGGTGTATGTTCGAATATAACATGGCAAGAGTCGAAAGTATTTATTCTAGAAACAAAGAAAACATTTTATTCCTAGTTTTCCTGCAACAAATGTCTTCGGGAAGTTTGCCATTACTTGTTTTAGAACTTGTACAGTCACAATCGTACATAGAATACCCTTACGACGAATATGGAGACACAGTTTTCTGGGAAAAACTGAAGGAAGTTTTGGCATAGACGCCTTTATACTTTAGTATGCCAAAGGCCTACAATTGAACGTTGTTTCAAATTCAGTAAATAATGTTTCTTTCAACCTTGTTTCAGTATTGCACAAAGAAGGAAGGATCGGTTTCTTTAAATCGATGCTGAACCTCAACGTCGGGACAATGATTTCAGATTTTCTTATGTCATCCTACTGTCAACTTTCCATTGCATAACAACATTCTATTATCTATAATATGGCGTTCTCTAGTCTGATTTGATAAGTTATATTTGAAAAGTATGATAGAGCTTGCGTAAATTATGGCAAACTCACGCATACACGATATTCCAATTTCGATTTTATGAGTGAACTGCCCTTGGTTGATTTGGGTTGATTTGGGGCAAAACGCATTATAAGAAAATTATAGCACCAATTGGAAGATCATGTATAGTCATATAACTAAAATGTATTCCAGGAAGGTTTGAGAAAGAAAGATTGATCGTATCACCAGGAAATCAATGTGAGAAAAAAATATCGACATTATCACATGATAAGTACTACGGTGGCTTTAAAACAGTGATCCTTTAATTATATTGTTTCAGCTTCTCAGCTCATTACTGAAACTTTTGATATCGCCATAGATTTCATTTGTTCACGGGCATTTGGACATGACTACAAGTTCTCATACGTTTTGGCGTGGAACTTTAAAAACATTCTTATTTCTTAATCCTGACTTGTCATTCGGTGTATTTTCGCTCATTTGCCTTATCATATATGTAGGACTCAAATCTATGGCGGGTTCCAAATCTATGGCAGATTCCTAATCTATGGCAAATGTGACGTAACAAATGTCAAACAAATCAAATCTATGGCATATTTTTGTTTTCTCCAAATCTATGGCAGATCTTTAAATTACGTCACAATAGAATAACGCAATATTACATCGTCGCCGCCGCAAACGTTGGCGGAACTCATAGATTTGAACACGATTCCAGATGAAGGTATTTCCCACGACAACAATTTGCGGATGGTTTAAAGGAAGATATGACCTATTATCCGGAAGAGGGACAAAATGTGCTGTACCGGCCGAAACCCGCGATGAACAAGGGCACCGCTTTTTTCAGTACCGGATATTTTAGAAAAGGAGTTATAGTAAATATTTTACTGTCTACAGCTGGCAAAGTTTATACAGTGAAAGATAAAATTACCGGATACCAATTTGATTTAAATCGTCATCAAATAAAAATGATATTAACGATGAAGTAAATATTATTTGAAAATTCAAACTGTTCATTTTTATTTATCATTTTTGTTTTATAAAAAAAACTATCCCCTTTTTTTGTTTATAAGGGACTTACTAGTTGGTTTAATGAATGTGTTAAATAGGTAACATGCACAGATTAAAAAATGTTTATTTTTACGGTGCACATCATTTCAATCTTGAAGTCTGTATTAAGGTATATGATTTCATCATTTACGAATTTGATTGGTTGCCAACACGATTTGGTTGACCATTATGAAATGTTTATTTCACAAATACTTATATACATGCTCCCGTCGTACATGTTCACTTGTTTAAGACAAGTCATTGGTCGTATCTGTACTGCATTGTTTTCCATTTGCACAAAATTTGCCATAGATTTGAAAACAACAAAAAACCCGCCATAGATTCGGAAATTACAAAACTTGCCATAGATTAGGATTGTAAAACAATCTGCCATAGATTTAGGATGGCATGACGTCACATTTACCACAGATTAGGAATCTGCCATAGATTTGGAACCCACCATAGATTTGAGTCCTACATATATACTTTGACATATGAATAATGATTTAGGCTTGTGAATACCACCTTATACGTGTACCTCATTTAATTTTTCGTTTGTTTTTAATGTATAATATTCATAATGAGTTCCTAGATACTGTAATGTTAAAAGAGAACTGTTGGATGGCAATGTGTTTTATTGATTCATATTTATTGTATAGAATTAACTCCCTTTTAATCTTATAATGTCAATATTTTTTTTTCTTGGCAAGAAATTTGAGTTCGGAATACTCCCCATATTTCGGCATACTCCTCATGTTTAATAAACAATTTATTAAACCAGAGATGACTGACAACAAACCGATAGTCAGCTATCATAAGCAGAACATTTTTACAGATATGAACATCAATTAAGTTGTAAGCGTGTTAAATCTAAAGTGAAGTTTTAAATTAGACGATTTTGTCTGTTCTGTGTAGACTTTAAAAAAAAGGTTTGTGGCTTTTCCACCTTTTGGTCATTATACCTGCTTAAAGTTGTTTAATTTGGCTTTTGACACTTTTGGTCACGATTGTATATGCTTAAGGTTATATAGTTTTGGCTTTCCCCCTTTTGGTCACGACCGTACCTGCTAAAGGTTATATAGTTTTGGCTTTTCACACTTTTGGTCACGATTGTACCTGCTTAAAGTTATTTCAGAAACGCGACACGTGCACATTGAAGTCATATCCGATGTTTTTTAACATCTATTAACTCCATATGTGTGCATATTAGAGTCACTATAACTATCTTTTATTTTTGTGTTTATCACGAATTTGTTTCTGTTGTACATATATAGATTTGTTTGAAATAATAAAATATTAAGCAATCTTCTTACATTTATGAATCGTTAGAGATAAAAATGATTTATGAAAAATAAACTACATTCCAATATTATACAGGAAACCAGTCAGAAAAAAAAGTGTAACAAAAATACCGAACTTTAAGGTAAACTCAAAAATAGGAAGTCCATAAAAACTGACAAAATCAAACTTTAACTTTATCAATCAAGGGAACGAACTGCCACAATCTTGACTTGGTACAAGCATTTTCTTAAGCATGGTTTTATAGCTAGCTTAACCCCCCCCCCCTTGTATGACTGTTGTTTAAAGTTCCGTTAAATTGACAAAATTGGGTGAGCAACCTAAACAGACATAATAGATTAATATGACAAATTGGGATCCAGCAGCCAAAATTGTGTAAACATACACCACAGACATATAACACAGTTGACGAAAAAATTCAGAATTGGGCATTCTTTATGGAATAGGCATTATCGGGTAGTATGTATCCAATGCACACAAAAAAGCAACATTGTTCAGGTTAGAGTTAGTATAAGGTATGATTCAATTTAGTGAACATGACATTAAGTAAAAGTTAACATATCGTTCATTATTTGAAAAAAAAAAACTTATATCTATTTTGTTTTAAATATGTAGAATTTAGTACAAACAAAGTACGAATATACCGAATTTCATTTTATTTATCATTTACCATCTGGAACCCCCCCCCCCCCCCCCCCCCAAGTGTATACAGATACAGAAGTACCAATCAAATTCAGATACATCATGTGACAAATTATTTATGTTTCTTGATAAAAACATAATAATCTATATAAATAGGAAATAGTCGAAAATTGTTTACTTCTGAAGTAATTATACATGATTGTTAATTAAAAAATATATGAATCAGAATGGTGTCAGAAATTTTTATATGCTTAACATGTATTCCTAAACAGGGAATCCAGATGAAATAAAGCTACATGTATTCTCTATTGTCACATCCCTCGTGCATAGCTCAGATTTCTTGTTCGGCTTTGGCTATACTTTCGGTCCTTCTCGGTTACATCAGCTCTTCAACGTTTGAATTAGATTTTTTGATTTTCAAATATTTTGGCAAATATTTTTACCAAACAGTGCATCATTCAAGGCGGGTACCACATCTGGTGGACTTACAGCCCCTGGTGATCTGTCAAATGTAAATGTACTGAAAATAAAGTCAGTAACTGTTTTTTACGGTGATGTTCTTTTGGCCCCTTTTTACGATGTCTATATTTCACAACATGTTCGATGTGCACGTGTCTGTAGTTGCGTTTTAGATTTCAAAGAACGTAATTTATGTATTGATATTAATTTATTAAGTAAAGGATTTCGATACCGCAAATTTATCAAATTTTTTACCCAATTCTTTCAAAGATGCAAAGGTTTGGTTATGAAGTTTGACTGTACCTGTAGAATTCTGATTAAAAACGATTTTTACGATGATGTTGTTTATAAGAGTCCGTCAATCTAGATACGATCCATGTAAACTCATTCATCCTTTGAATAGACTTATTCTTAAAGGATACCAATTTAAGACTGAAGTAAAATCTTAAGATATTGTTTTTATCGGTACTAAAATTGACTTTGATTTTGAAAAATTTAAACATAACTTAATATATATTGTTATTGGCTTTTAACTAGCTGTCAGTAGCTGCGAGTACTCTTTGGTGTATGGAATTTTTGCAAAGTATAATGCATGTCTGTCTGGCAGGATTCATCTGAATATGACCTCATTTTCATAGTTCATGTGTCAATGTGTAACTTAAGTGGTTAGTTCCTTTTCTCAAACACCATACGGATAGGGTAACTATATTTAATGTATTAAACTCATCATAGATACCATAAAAAATTTAGAGTTTAGAGAGGCCAATTAAGGTAGGGAGTTGACGAGCATTGAGGACCCAACGTTCCGAATGGTTTTATCAAATACAGCTAAGGTTAACTATTCGTGGGGTTCAAAATCCTTAGAATTTTGAAAATTCAAAGGTTTGTTATAGTTAATTTATAAATATGACTAATCAATGATAATTCATGTCAACACAGAATGATAGTAAGATGAACATGTCCGTCTGGTGGGATTTTACTGACCTTGACCTCATGTTCATGGTTCATTGTCAGTGTTTAGTTTTCATAGTTCGTCCCTTTTCTCAGATACTGCAAGTGATATATTATAGTTAAACTATATTTGGAGTAGGGAATTATTGCCATGTGTGCCTGACCATTTGGCTGTGTTCTCTGATCCTAACCCTATTTACATGTATCATTAATAATGTATGTTTATGCGATACGTGTAGTTCAAATTTTCAACATAATTTCAATCATTATCATTAAATCAGGCGAGGCATTTCGGCGTGTGCACTCTTGTTTTAGCAAGGCATTCAAAATTGACTATATTATCAATTACAAACAATAATTGTAGGCTTTCTTTAAGAAAAATGACATATTACTCAACATCAAAATCTCCAAAACATGAGTTAATAAGGTTCAAACCTCTATTCCTATAGTTATATTGTGATTAGAACATGCTTGATACTTTTAGTCGATAAATCTGTCCCTTCTAACTTACTGAAATAGGTATCATACGTTTATAATATCCTCTATCTAGCTTAGTTCTTACATGAGATTATCTCATCCGTAAGATCTTCGGAAGATAGACTTGTAAATTAGGTATTTTAGAGCTGTTTTGATTTGAAAATCGAACCGCCATTCTGGCATACTAAATAACAATATAAAAATAAGGAGATGTGGTATGATTGTCAATGAGACAACTATCCACCAAAGTTCAAATAAAGTAGATGTAAGCAATTATAGACAACCGTACGGCCTTCAACAATGAGAAAAACCCATACCGTATAGTCGGCTATAAAAGGTCCCGACATGAAAAATATGAAATAATTCAATTGAGAAAACTAACGGTCTAATTTATAACAAAACAATTTACGAAAAACAAATATGACACACATGAACAGCCCGTTTGAATAAGGTATTCTAGCTCCCTCAGGTACTATTGTTAAATATCCTTATTGTATGTATACCCCAATGGTTTTTATCTTAAAATTCACAAAGTTAACATTATTGACAATGTCTAGATAACAGCGAATGACGTGAAGAAGTCAATATATCTGATTTTACACTGTGCAACCATCGATTCTTATTATCATTAACTTGATATTTTTGGGTGCGTTTATAATGTCACCAACTTGTTCAGTGCCAAGATACCGTGACGTGTACCTGGAATAATCTTAATCAAGTATCCTCTCGGACCAAAGATCATATAAAGATTGAAAGCATTAAAGGAAATTAAGCAGAACAACCAATTTGAGCAACCATCCTAGACTGATATAAAATAAGACAACTATCAACCAGAGTTCAAATGACGAAGATATAAGCAATTATATGCCATCTTACGGCCTTCGACAATGGGAAAACTCCATACCGTAAAGTCAGCTATGAAAGGCCCGACATTAAAATTGTGAAACATTCAAACGAGAAAACTAACGGCCTAATTTATAACAATACAATTTACGAAAAATAAATATGACAAACATGAACCAACGACAGCCACTGAAATACAGGCTCCGGACTTGGGACTGGCCATACAGAATGTGTCAGGGTTAAACATGTTTAAGGGCGCTTAACCCTCCCTTTACCTGGTACAGTAGTTTAACAGCACAACAAATAAAAAAAGAACTTAACAAATCAGATGAAAAAGGCTCGACTCATCAGATCGACACAAAGTACACAAAAAAGGCGACTTAATACACAAAGTACCGATCTTAGAGTACTCACAATCACTGAAAGCTAGTTCAAAGCTAATAACAACTAATGATAAAAGCATGCTTTAAAACCCTAATTTTGTATGAAATGTGTCAGACAAAGAGCCAAAGTACCATCAGCAATATTCCAGCAATTCGATCAAGGTTGGACAAACACTTAAATTTGAAGATGATGGTGACAGTTCTGTCCTTGTACTATACATTGGAATGCACTTGGTTGGAGTGTTGCGTTCGAACAATCTAAATCTCTTTGTACTTGAAATCAATAAAATAATGGAAAACAACAAGGAAATATAATATGATGAACAATTTAAATTTCCGATAACTAAATATTTTGCATGGTACTCCGGTAATTATCGTTGAAGTTATTTATGATATTTGTTCATTTCTGTAGTGTATGAAGTACAGCATCAGTGAAGTATATCTGTATCAAATTGTGTATGTATTTTTGATAGAGGTGAAATAACTTGCATTCCCGTCTGCCATATAGGGCCGATAAGTCTGTTTTTATTGTCAATCTGCGTCTATTGAACAGGTTGCTATTCACACGAAGGAATGAATGATCACAAAAAGTTATCAAAATCACTTTGTAGAAGACCTGGTAAGTTATCATAGATACTTAAAAAAAATTATTACAGTTTTAACGGTATTTTATTTATGTAATTCTTTGTAATTTGCGCCCCCTTTTTTAATCTAATGATAACTTTCTGTTCTGAAAACATATTACCATAACGTTGCAGTATTACGATATATAAAAAATCACTGGGGGCCTTTTAAAACCGTCTGTAGCGCAGAGGAGAGGGACTCATAATCTTTTCAATTTCATTTCATGCTACCTTTTTTTTTACTGCCAATAATATTTTACGATTGATATATATATATATATATATAACAGTGACGAAAAATCATAGGAGCAAGAAAACTAAGGAAAAACATTAAAAAATCAGAAAAATTCAATATAAACTTAAATATTCTACTTAAAAAGAGGCTTCCCCCGACAAAAATTAAAAAAAAAAAAAACAATAACATTTGAATTGAATGAAATATCTAATAAAAATGAAAACAACACTATAAATTTCATGCGTCCGAACTGCTTTTAGATTTACTTTCATCCAGAACGCCCAAAGCCGAATATTTGAAAGCCAAGGATGTGCAAGAACCGAAACATTTGAAGAGCTATATGACCAAAAGGGCCTTAAAAATAGCTGAATCCATCTAAGTCAACTTTGCCTGATGGAGTTGAAACCTAAGTTTCTTTATAATTTTTAAATTTATAAACGGACAATTTTAAATGATTGACTGTTGGTTGCTCAAAGTCCAGTGGCAAATATTTCATGCATGTTTAAGACGAGAACCAATTAATAATAAATCAAATATGTAGGTCCTCTAACAGAGGACGTTCGGAATGAAGGTCGGGAAATTTAGGCTGCCACTGTAACTTAGGGTATGTTGGATATGGACAGAAATTTTGCCCTGCAACAGGACACCTACGGAGCCCCCAAAGAGCTGTTGCAAGGGTTCTTAACATGCAGTGAGCGTGGCACTCTCTACACGCCCCATTCTGACTGAACGTAGCTGCGTACTTGAACATCCCGCACAGCCAAACGGACGCCCAACTTTGGCAAGGGTTTTACTGCCGGTCGGAAGAGGACCTAAGTGACCATATTTCTATTCCACAGTCCCCCTTGGAGGTAAACAATTTTAGAAAGGTTTTTTATAAATCATGTCAGTACCGAAGTATCGATTACTGAGCTGATGATAAACTCAAGGACTTTTCCAATGTATTTAATAAACAACGTGTATATAATACGAGTACACCTCACACATATAATTCTGTTGATTGCTGATGGAAATGAAGCTATAAAGGTGCTTTATTTCTATGGGTCCAAGTACAGCATACGGTTGATCAGACTCCTCTTCACAGTAGGAGCATTTGAACATTGTTCTTGATTTCCATTTCTAGAACGATAAAACATATTATCACCAAGACATACATTTACCCGATTTATACACTATGTGTACGTACGTCTCAATCAAACATGTATGAGCTCTCATAAAAAAATTGTTTACATCACGAAATATTTACTGTATGAAATCCATATCGGTACACTAACATGAAGATATCTGAATACAAATGAACGATGCCTTTTATGAAATGTACGTGATAAAACAGCATTATCAAGCTAGTTTAATGCATTGTTTAGTTCTTTAAAAAGTATTTTATTTGAACCTTTTCATTGTTTCTTAAACATAAATGCACTGACACGGACTGCTCTCGAAAAAACACGGACATATAAAAAAGAATTTACTCTCCAAAATGTCCCTTTTCAATGCAAAAACAAATTTTTTTGTAAAGTGTCTGTATATCTATGTAAATATAGATTCCATGTATGCATTTCCGTTGACATTTGCAATTGTATGTGTATAAAAATGGCTTTAATCTATATTTTGGAATAAAGAATTGTAAGGCTAAATTAAACGCTTTTAAAACAAAATAATGTAGGGTTGGTAATATATTTTTATCACAAATACTACTTTACCTTCTATGATATTAGATATAAGATTCTAGCATCTATTTTTAACGTCTTACCAGAAAGGAAGTCTGTTTGTTTACATTTCTGATCATATTCACTCGAAAAAACGTGGTCACACTCGAAAAAAACCCCGATCAAATCACTCGAAAAAAACACGACTCAAGCCGGTCACTATACATGACAATGTATATACCTAAATACATGTATGCATTAGTGTCTATATAGGATTGGTATCTGGTGAAACAGTATGGTGGTCCATAAAATCAAAAGCTTCTTGTATATGCATACAAACAGATTTAATTCTTTTTCATAATTTTGGTTTATAATTTTGATAAAATTTTCATTCAAATTATTTGCATCTATTTTCCTTGATGTTGTATTTATATCTAGTTTTGGTACATTGTATATTGGGGACATTTGACCAAGAAATGAATCTCATGTTCAACATGTCCTGTGCAAAATTTGCAAAATCTCTCATTAGAGGGTATTATATGGTTTTGCATATCTACCAGTTTCTATGTCTAATGAGTGTGCACTTAATCATAATTTGGTGAGTTTTTTCTAAGACGTTTTGGGACATTAAAGTTCAAATAATCTTGTTGTTTGAATTGAGTATAAATTTTATTTGATGATATTCCAATATTATTTATTTTGATAATTCAAATAGTTTATTAGACCATGAATTTTCTCTATTTGTGAGAGTTTTGTCCACTTCAAATGCAGCCCTGAGAATTTCATGTGGGCCGCCAGACTGTTCACCAATCTCATTGAGACGTACATAGTATTTATACATAAGTTGATAACACTTTATGCTAGCAGGTAATGCACCCAATTCACATCTCACTGCTAAGTTGGAAGACTTTTCATGAATCCCAAGTATGTTTTAAAGATTGAGTTTTGTGTTTTTTTCAAATCAAATTTACTTCTGTCTAGGGCTTCAAAATAACGTTTAGATTCAGAAATCCATATTTCTGATCTATAAGTTAAAATAGGAATTACCATTGAGTTGTATAATTGAAGCCATGTTTTTACGGACAGGTTAGTTTAGACTTTAAGGCAAAATATGCTTTTTTAGCTTTATCTGCAAGACTTGACACTGCTTGTGCAAATTTTCCAGAACTATGAAAAGCAACTCCTAAGTATTTACAACAATCCACAATTTTGATTGCATTAGAGCTATGATAAACATAGAAATTTTCTTATTTATTTTTATTCGAAAAAACTATAATTTTTGTTATTTTCAAAGTTCACAGCCAGTTTCCAATCAGAACTATATTTTTGCAAGGATACAAGACAGTTCTGAAGAACACTGGCAGATTCAGATATTAATAATAGATCATCAGCATATGATAAATGGTTTAAATTTTGGTCATGTTAATTGACTGGACTTGGTGATTTGGTGTCAAAGTACTTTCCGATGTCAACCACAAATATATTGAATAGAGTAGGACTTAAACTGTCGCCTTGTTTGACTCCCTGATGAGCGCATAAAAGGCTTACTATACATATTCTGATATTTACAAGAGTATATTATTAGAGTATATGTCATGCAGTATGTTATAAAAATTAATTCCTTTAGCTGTAATTTCAAGAATAAAGCTGATCTCCAGACACTGTCAAAAGCCTTGTAGGAAATCAATAAAACACACATATAGTTTCTTTTACATTTAAACATATATTTGTATATTAGTGTTTTTGAAATAAAAGCATGATCTACAGTTCTGCAATTTTTTCTTAAACCACCTTGATTATAACATAGTAAGTTGTTTGTTTCTAGGAAATCGCTAAATCATCATTGTAAAATTAAATTAAGGTAGCTGGGGTGTCTAAATGTTCGACGATAGATCTTTCTTAAACTACTATGAAAGACTTCTAGGTCAATGTACTTTCAATTTTCAATTTAAAAACTGGAGGTCACGGGCCCTGTTTTTTCGTTAAAATACATTGTAATTAACGAAATAACAGTTAATTTATATGGGTTATATAGGGGAAACTTAATTTTTCTTTATTATGGAGTCCTTAAACGATAGAATTGGTTAAAATATAATGAGAGAATTGTTTTTCATAAATACATCCTAAATATCAAATAAAAATAGGGGATATCTGGTCTTATTTTCTTGAAAAGTTTAAAAAACACAAATTGTCCTCTCAAATTCAATATAATTATCTGCCCTTGATTTCAAAGGATTTTTTTCTGAAAATTTTAAATACACTTAATGGTACTTAATTTTTTGATAGTTTAATCTTTGAATTTCAAGTTTTAGATGTTTCTGTTGTATATTGAATGATACTTGGTATAATATTTTTAAATAAAAAAAGGATTTTTGCAACATGACCAGAATGGATGCTCAGAAAAGGACACCCGATCTACCTTAAACACTTTTCCAATACAGTTTGTTATGCTTATACCTCTATAATTTCAACAATCAGATGGGTCACCAGATTTATAAATTGATGTCAGAAGGGATATGTTCCAATTTATTAGGACTTTTTCTGAATTAAGTATCTTATAAAAGTAATGCTAAGGTGTTCGATCCCACCTGTAGAAACTCATTGATTATCAGATCAGGACCTGCAGATTTTCCCTTTTTAAACTTTTTAACACAGTATTATATTTCTTAACATTTAATAGGAGCATTCAGTGATGAATCAATACAGTTATGCTTGTCATCTTTGTTATGAATAATTTTAGTTTTCTCATTTTCGCCTGCAGCAAGTAAATTTTTATAATGATTTACCAATTCTTGAGCTTAAATACCAGACTCGCAGTTATTATTCTTTTTTTTTATAATTACTAATTCTACCTAGAATTCTTTGGTGTTTTTTGGATTTATATCATTTATTTTTTTTTATCAAGTATTGAAAAAAAATGTTTGTTTAGTTTACTTTTAAGTTTATAAGTTGTATTCTCTTTTGCAGTTGCAATATGTTAATCTTAATCCATTTACAAGTACCAGGAAGGGACCATAACTCTTCCTCCTTTATCTTGTGGGAGTGTTTATAAATTAGAATGTTCAATGCATTTACACAATGATCTACCATTACTATTATAAAATGTAAAGTAGCT